CGGGGCTCCCGCGAAGCTCCGGGGCCGCGGCGGGGTGCAGGGGCGCGGCTTTGGAAAGCGGCGGGTCGGAGGTGGGAAGACCGGCGGGACGGGGCGGGGCCGGGCTCACCTGGGAGCCCCCCAAACCCGCACTTTCTCCAAAGCCGCCTCCTCGGCTCGGAGGGGAGAATTCCGAGGGGAGGAATTAGGACCCACCCGGAGCCTGGGTCCGAGGCCCCTTCCAACACGCAGGTAAAGCCCTGGGCCCAGAAAGATGCGCGGCGCGGGGAGGAAGGAGGCCCGCAGAGGTTTCATCCGAGTCCCGACACGAAGAGGCGAGGAATTCGGAAGACCGACCCGGAACTCTCCCTTGAGCGCCCCTGGGTCCCCGCCTGGCCCCGGGGCCAGACTTCCTCGAGGCAGCTCTTGGTGTGGAATTCACTCGCTCAGCAAAAACTTCGTTTCCCCACCAGCTTCCCACCTGTGGGAACAGTCAGCACCACCCAGAGGCCTGGCACAAGCTGTGGGTTGGGCCAGAAACTGTTACTCCATCAGCAAACTCCTTAGCAACTGGCAGAACCCAGCTCAAAAAACCCCTCCCGATCCCCAAATTGTTAGTTTGCCCTAATAAATTCCCAAAGCCGACTGCGCTGAACATGCCGCCATCATAACTTCCGGAAGGTGATAAAAACATACAGTGGCTGGAGCCAGTCCTTGAGTGTTTACAGAGTGTGACCTGTGATGCTAAGAGTTTCAAATCCACGGTCTCGTTTAATCACCAGAAAATCCAGTGAGGGAGTTTGTTTGTTTTGCAGGACTGAGCTTGAATCCAGGACCATTGTACATCCTTAGTCCTTTAATTTTTTTTTTTTTTTTTTTTTTTTGTTATGAGACTTGCTTAATCACTGAATTGCCCAGGCTGGGCTAGAACTTGTGTGTGACCTTTCTGCCTCAGCATCCCAGAATACTGGGATCATAGGTATGAGCCACCACCATGCCCAGCTGGAAGATGTTCCTAAAATCTCCCCTTTAGCAGGGCACATGCCTGTGATTCCAGCTACTCAGGAGGCTGAGGCAGGAGGTTGGTCCATCTGAGCAATTTAGTGAGATCCAGCCTCAAAAAAAAATTTTTTTTTAATTTTTTAAAGGGCTGAGGATATAGCTCAGTGGTAGAGCATCTGGAATTCAGTCCTCCAATGTGGCGGCACTCGCCTGTCATCCCAGCAGTGGGGAGGCTGAAGCGGGAGGATTACCATGAATTTGAGACCAACTTGGTCTCAGTGAGTTCAATGCCAGCCTAGGCTACATAGTGAGACCCTGTCAAAAAAAATCAAAGGAAGAAGCAAAGATCGAGCCCAGCCTGGGCCAAGGGAGCAGGGAGCAGGGTCCCTGGGACTTGTAAAAAGTGGGGAGAGTTGGGGGACCCCAAGACCAAAGTGGCTCAGCAGGGATCAAGGCCTGAGTTTCTGGGCAGGCAACTGGGGCAGGGCAGCTGCCAGGACACTCTGGCCACGCCCCCCACGGTCCCCAGCCAATGGGTGTAGCTGACACGCCCCTAGGAGGAGACCTGGGGCCCAGCAGCCCCCACGGAGCACACAGGAGGAGGCGTCCCAGGCCAGGACACTGCGGCCCTGCAGGCTGAGGGCGGCGTCTACGGAGCAGGGGTGGGCAGGGCAGGGACACAGCTGTGCATCTCCCTCCCAGTCCACAGGGTGTGGCAGGACAAAGGGGACATGGCCGGCCGGGCCCTGCTGTCCCTGTCCCTGCCACCCCGTGTATGGCGGGCCTGACCTCTGGCGGCAGGACCAGCTTAGCGTCCACTGCGGCTGACCTCTCGGCACAGTGTCAGTATTTTGAGTCACTGTGCACGTACTCAACACACTCCAAGAGCCACTCACGACTGTCACAGCGACAGAACTCTCACACTCTCCCTGTTGAGATGACGTCACTGTGATTCCTGCTGCATGGTCGCTCATCGCTGTCACTCTCTGTCACCTGACGATGAAACGCCTTGCTGTTTTCCAGTCACCTGGACACCTATGACAGTCATGTCCTCTCCTGTCTTTTCTTTTTTTTTGGCACTGCAGATAGACCCCAGGGCCTTTGCACTGAACTACGTCCTCAGCCCACTTTAATTTTTTTTTTTTTTTTAAGTTTGAAACAGTAAGTGGCCCAGGCTGGACTTGATCCTCCTGCCTCAGCCTCTAAGATC